GATTTGTTCTACAATCCTTCTCAACAAATCGAAGGTGTCTTGAAAATGGGGAACCAGTACCGCACAAAAGCAGAGTGCATGAAAGCTATAATAAAGTTTCACATGGATAACTTTGTTAATTTTGAAGTAAACTGCAGTGACTCAAAACGCTATGTCGTAGTTTGTCGTAACAAACTTTGCAAGTTTCGGTTAGCAGTGTCCTATCGGAAGTGAAGTGATTGTTGGGAGATAGGTTTGATGGATCCACCTCATAGTTGCACAACCAACATCAATCGGCAAGATCATGGTAAACTAAGCTCCCAATTAATATGCCAAGAGATTTTGCATCTTGTGGGCGTAGATCCATCTGTGAAGGTGAGCACGATTATCTCTCATGTCGTTGCACGATTCAACTATACCCCATCGTACAGGAAAGCTTGGATTGCAAGAATAAAAGCAGTTGAACATGTATATGGGAATTGAGAAAAATCTTACAATCAACTTCCACATTATTTGCTAGCACTTCAAAAATATGTTCCTGGTACGGTTGTAATATTGGAGTCACTTCCAGCATACACTCCTGATGAAACATGTGTTGATGGAAGTAGGATATTATCTCGTCTCTTTTGGGAATTTCAACCATGTATCAAAGGTTTTGCGTTCTGTAAACCTGTTATTCAAGTCGATGGAACATGATTGTATGGAAAATACAAAGGAACATTCCTGATGGCGGTTGCACAAGACGGAAATATAATATATTTCCGATTACCTTTGCTCTGGTCGAAGGTGAGACATGTAAAGCTTAAAGTTTCTTCCTCAGAAATCTCAGAACACATGTCGCCCCTCAACCCAACTTATGTCTAATTTTCGACAGACATACCTCTATTGTGACCGCTTACAACAATCCTGCTAATGGTTGACACAATCCTCCTTCTGTCCATGTCTACTGCATAAGGAAAAAAATGACCACAAACCTTGTGGAATCCCTAAATGGCATATTTAAGGGAACTAGAAACCTCCCTATCATTGCGTTGGTAAGAGCAACCTATTATAGATTGGGGTCACTTTTTGCGGCAAGAGGCAAAAAATGAAGCGCTGTTTTGGAATTAGGGCAATTATTCAGCGAAACATGTATGATATATATGAAGGAGGAAAATGTTAAGGCGACCTCACATTGAGTTAGAGCGTTTGATCGTCACGATTACAGCTTCATTGTTGACGAGACAAAGGATCACAATGAGGGTCGACCAATGGGATACTACAGGGGGGAAATTCATAAAAATTGGTGTGACTGCGGAAAGTTTCAAACCTTCCGCATGCCTTGTTCACATGTCATTGCCGCATGTTCCAGTGTTCGTCAGAATCCATTCTTGCAACTATAAGAAGTTTACAAGGTCGTGAACTTATTCGGTATCTACAATAACAATTTTCCAGTGGTAGCTAGTGGGGACTATTGGTCAACCTATCATGGGGACACAATTTACCACAACGAAAATACGAGACGAAACAAAAGGGGCCGCCCCAAAAGCACACAAATTAGAACTGAAATGGATACAACTGAGAAAATGGAAAGATTGTGTGGAATATGTCGTCTTCCCAGGCATACGAGGAAACATTGTCCAAATGCTGGAACAAGTTCTAGATAGATTTACTTTGATCATTAAAAAATGGTAACCTTGGAATTTAATATTTATAGCAACTTTTGTTTACCACAAAACAAATTGAAATACTTCTAAAACAACAACACAAATCATTAAAAATATAAGGATTATTACAACATAAACTAAGATATAACAACAATCAAAGTAATATCATCAGTTCCGAACATCATATACCTAACTTCGTTGTCATCTTTAATTGGCACCCACTCACGCTGTATATTGCCATCTGCAATCAAGAATTACGAAACAAGTCTTTCAATATTTCTAATTCTTTCACCATCTGGAATGTCTCCTTCTAACCAGCGATTCAAATTTCTTCGTAGTTGCTCTAAACTTTGGATGTTCCAAAACAACACCCTTATCGGAGGATTGGCTCTTGAGAAAATGACATGCCCATATCTTCTAAGGTACATGATTCACTATGCTAAATTTGTAAGAAACAATGGTAATTTAAGTGTGAAAGAATATACAAGTCTCATCTATTTATACAAGAAATTTTTTAAATAAAATAATAATAAATATTATAATCATATATAATATATGATATATTAATAATTAAATAGATTATAACGAAATAAGGGGAGCTCCAAAGCAAATAGCGTCTCCTCCTCATCATTTAAGGGTGACTTCAAATCAAATGGCGCCCTCTCCTATTTCATAAGGGTGACTCTAAATGGGATGGCACTCCCTTTTTACTTATAAGGGTGACTCCAAACTCAACGGCGCCTCCTTTAAACGATTTTTTTTTTTTTTAAAACATGGGTAGTTTAAAAATTGGTTAAAAAGATAAGTAATTTGGAAAATAATATTGGGAATGGTGGTTTCGTGGATAAAAAATTCTAATCTAACCATACAAAATCTAGATTTGATTCTTAGCTGTTGTGTTTTTAACACTACATTTTGTCCTATAGGTAAAAATGAAAAAGAACAAACCTATCATATTCATACACCAGATGAAAACATTATATAAACAAGATTATATTATATAGTATAGTTCATAATTTCCCTGCATTATACTCTTCACTCACCAAAATGAAGAAACAATGTTGCAAAGACTCTGAAACAAATCAAAACCAACAACTATCATTGGAATATTGTTGCTGGTTTGAAGATGCATGCATCCTTGACATGGATTACTTTGTCAAAACTCTTTCAAACATCAAACAAAAAGGCGTTCGCGCCGATTTAATCGGTTCAATCATCACTCACTATGCTTCCAAATGGCTCCCGGATCTCGTAACTTCGAATGCAAATGCAAACTCGAATGCAAATGCAAATGCTAATGCTAGTTCACCCGAAAGTGCGACAACATCATGGATGAAGAAAAAATTCTTTGTTGAAACCTTAATCAGTGTTCTTCCACCGGACAAAGATTCAATTCCATGCAACTTCCTTCTTCGCTTACTCAGAACGGCAAACATGGTTTCTGTCGAGGCTACTTATCGAGCCGAGCTTGAGAATCGAGTTTCATGGCAGTTAGATCAAGCTTCATTGAAGGAACTCATGATACCTTCTTTTAGTCATACATGTGGAACCCTTTTGGATGTTGAGCTTGTTATTAGGTTGGTTAAGAGGTTCTTGAATTTGGATCATGATGGTTCGAAAACCGGTGCTGCTTCTTTGGTTAAGGTTGCTAAGTTGGTTGATTGTTACCTTGCTGAGGTTGGTTTGGATTCTAATCTGAGTTTGTCTCAATTTGTTTCACTTGCTGCTGCTCTTCCTAGTCATGCAAGAGCTACTGATGATGGTTTGTATAGAGCCATTGATACTTATCTTAAAGTATGTTTTCTTTCTCATCTTTTTAATTTGCTTTATTAGTAAAGTTAATTACTTTGGAAAAATGAAGTATCAAGACGACAATTCATTCTGAATGTCCTATTGTTTCTTGTGTCGTCACCAGCACACGAGTCTCTGAGATAGGATATGTGTATGTAGGATTCAAATTCTTCGTAGTCAGAAAGTCGCTAAATTAAAGATCAAACATTTTTTTTTTATTTCTGATATATCGAGATTCACATGCAATTGTTTCACTACAAAAGTCCAAAATTAGATAAGACATGAATCATAAAGCTAGTTGTAAATTGTAATCAACATTTTCTCTACTTTTGGCTTTTCTCTTGTCCATATCTTATATAGATGTCAAAGCTTGGCCTTTCTTTCATTATAGATATGTTTAATTATTACTTGTTGTCAAAAAGCACATTAATTTCCTTCTAAATTCAAGTAAGAAACCATTTATCAGTAGGCCGTTGATTGTAATTTGATCCAGATCGGATGGTGTATTACAGATTCAAATCTAAAATACCGAGTTTAATATCTTGACTGTCTCCGTCTGGTATTGAATGTCTGGAATTCTAACTGCATGCAATCCAAATCCATTTAGTCGGGCCGTATTTCATTTGATGTGAGATTGTCTACTTGTTATTTTTGTTACAGGCACATCCAAGCGTGTCGAAGCAAGAAAGGAAGGGACTGTGTAGATTGATTGATAGCAGGAAACTAACACCAGAAGCTTCACTTCATGCGGCACAAAACGAACGGTTACCTGTGAGAGCTGTTATTCAGGTACTTTTCACCGAACAGACGAAACTCAACCGCCACATTGATTGGAGTGCTTCTTTTAGTAGCTTGAGGAGTCCAAGTGGATATCATGGTGTGTTGGAGACACCAGAACGGTGTCTTTCGAAGCGCGAAATGAATGCGCAGCAAATGGAGATAAAGAAACTGAAAGAAGATGTTTACAGGCTGCAAAGTCAGTGCAATGCTATGCAAGCACAGATGGATAAGATGGCTGAGAAGAAGAAAGGTTTCTTCAAATGGAAGAAACTTGGTTTTAGTAAAAGCAACGGAGAGACGGGGAACGTTGAAGAACATGAAACTCAGACTGAATTTGGATTCGGAAGGCAAACACCTATGGACATGAAAACTAGTATTGTCGTCAAAGGTAGGACTCCTCAAAACTGGAGAAAATCGCTGTCATGAAATAGAGGAACAGATTAAAAAATTAAGCTGTTATTATAAGTCTGTTTATTGGAGTTAAGACTTTGGAAATAATGTAAGATCGAGACTATTTGGTTCTTCTTGTAATTCTTATAAAAGGAATGAATGAATAAGGAAGGTATATTACAGTAGATGCTAGAATAATCAAATTTCTAGCCGAAAAAATATGTTTTTAACAGGAAACTAGACGAAACAGAAACATAATTATTGCAGCCAAACAACAAGCTGTTATCACTTATTCGATAACTAAAAAATCTTATACACACAAATCAAACAATAGAATCAAGCCTAGTATTTTGCACACTCATATTGTAATAAAGGTTCAAGAAGCATAAAAAAGCATGTACGCGTCAAACATGTTTATAGTTTCACTGCTTTCTTGATACTCTTGATGGATGATTTCATCCCTTGAAACAAAGATGGAGATGACGGGATTCGTCTCAAGACCTTTGCACTCTCTGATCGAACTAGTCTTTTTTCTAATTTTTGTTGTTCTTCTTTCCAATTTTTTCCAATTTTTGTTTTATCAAAACCATCATTTGTTTCCTCTATTTTATCACCTTCTTTGCTCTTATCTTGAAGGACTTGCAGCTCCTTCTTTACAGTTTTCAACTCCTTTTGCGGAAACTTCTGGTTCAGTTGCTCGATTATATCTTCAGTCTTACCAAAAGCACTTTCGTTTGTTTCTTCTTCTTGTGCTCCCATTCCTTCTCCTTGACCATTCTCTAAAAGCAATTGAAGCCATTTTTCAACATTCCCTTTACCTCGTTGGTTTCTCATTTCATCATCTTCATCAACTTTTTTCTCATGAAACCCGCGGAAAGAAACACCAGGATTTCTCTTTTCTTCACTAATTTCTAGCTTCTGAAGTCTCTGCTCAATTAACTTTTCTTCATACAAAGCCACAAACGGTTCGGTATGCTCTTCTAGCTTCTGTTCCAACTCATCATTATTAGCTGCAATTTTCAGCTCCTCTTCGTTCGCAGATAGGCCGGCTTCGGACGCTCTTTGTTCTTCCTCCAACAAAACTCTGAGCTCTTTGTGGAAAGGTGTTCTTGGCCTAACTCCAGGCAAATAAAAAACAGTTTTATTGTTCTCCCTCTCTTCTTCGAAAGCGGAGTCATCCATTCTGAACCTCTTTCTTCCTTGCTCAAATTCAGGTCTAAGCTGTTTCTCTATGTCATCTTTTTGCTTATACTTCTTATAAAACTCTTTCTCAGCATTATCACAAATCGATCTTTGTGCTTCAAGTCTAGCCGTTAGTGCATTACTTGCAGCCGTGTTCAATCTTACCTGTTCCTTATAAATCACACTCCTGCACCAAAACAATATAATCGTTCAATCATTAAAACTGTTCGACTTTAATCTTAACTACTTATAAAGAAAAGTAATAGTCATTTCAACTTTAGTTAGTGAGGCTTACTGGTGCATGGTGTCTCTAATCATCTTCTCTAGCATGGTTCTGTAAGAAGATTGAGCTTCTGCAAGCCGTCTGCATTTTTCTGCTTTCCGTTTCCGTTTTATAAGCGCCAATTCGAGATCTTGAATAACAAGCTTTTCTTCTTCATTCTTGAGTTTCATTTCACTCACTTCATTATCCAACTTTTTCATTTCCATCTGCATTTTTGAAGCTTCTTCTTTTTGCTTTAAAGAATCTCTAGCCATGACAATTGCTTGGTAGGGGTTTCTAACAAAATTTGGATCTTCATTTTCTTTAGGCACATTGCCCTTTGATTTTCTCGTAGCCTCTGAAAAAGACGTAACAATAACATCAATATCTTATTCTTGATCTTCAAATTCATCATTAGTATGATTAATCATATTCACGAGGACACTAACCTATTGCAGAAGACATAGGCCTTGTCTTCTTATTGTGATCAAGTTGTCTTAAAGCTAAAGCATCATAAGGATCCCTTCGCGATTCGACTATAGCAGCGGGAGCGAGTCCTACTTCTTCACTCAAACCAATGAAGTGTTGTGGAAAAGAATGAGAATCCACTATTTGTGTATCATTCAACTCATGATTTTCTCCTTCAGAGAACAAAAATGAAAAGCCTCTATGCCTGTCATTCACAAGCACAAATATCATCATCACCCTCGCAACGTAAAGCAAATTGAGAAACAATATAAGTAGAGAGAATCAGAAAACATACCTAAAGTCAGATTTTGAAGAAGCAAAAATGGACAAAAACTGATTTACAGATATCCCCAATTGGAAATCCCACCATGGCACTAAGAATTCAAGTTTATTTTTCTTCCTTCTGAAAACTTGTCTTTGAACTATCCTTAGATTGCTTAGTACAGTCAAGCCTCCCCCTACAATTATCATCCCAAAAAGAGCAAAATCACACCAAAACCTAATTTGTTTGTAGCTCAATTAAGCTGATTTCAACCTTCTTCACTTGCTAAAAAAGTTATGTTAATCCATAGAAAATGAGAGAAAGAGCTTAATTACTTGAACAAGGAAACCAATGATCAATATCCCAAGCAAGAGGAGAAGCTGAATCGGCATGATAATACAAGACATTGCCATAAGCATCAACTCGAATCACCGCAGGATCAAAACCAGCATTCCTAGAATTTCAACCAAAATTAACATTAATCAATACACACAAACACATAAGAATTGAAATTTTTCAAGAGTTGTTAGTTACCCAAGATGACTGAGCTGGTTCCACAAGATACTGACAAAGATTCTAGGTTTGGTTGTTGGTTTAGCCTTTGGATCAATAATTGGAAACATCTCATCTAAAAAACTTGATCTTTCAACCTGAGTGAAACATTAACATCAACAACAACATGACCAAATGTTACAAATCTAACCCAGATAAAGAAACCAATGACCCAGAATTGTTTTTACCTCAAAGTTTCAATTTTTATTACGAAAACAAAGAAAGAAGAAATGGGTACCTCGTCATCATGCAAAGCATAAGGTAGAAAAGTGAAGGGAGGACCACGGCTATAAGGACTGAAACCACGGTCACGACAGAGTTTCGCATAGGCTTTGGGGTATCCAAGGTTGTCGTTGACGAGCATTTCCTCAGAGGTGAAAGTGAAACCATAATCTTGTGCCATTGTTGTTGAAATTCAAGGTTGTGTTGTTTCTTGCTATGAGTAAATAGGGAGAGCGTGTGTTTTGTTGAAGAAGAAACCAACGGTCGAATTGGAAGTTACTATTTAAAACCGAAAAATAATGATTAATTCGAAATTGGAAAGTGATTCGATTCTTACTAAGGTAACGGTTACATGGGATGGAGTAATAAAAGAGGTTGTTGTGGATTTTTTTTGTAGGACCAAAGTGTCCTTGAATTTGAGATGTTTCAATAAGGAAAAAAAAAACAAGTGGGGTTTGGTTTTGATTGTGGTGGGATTAGTGATTAGTAGTATCAAAAATTTGAAATTAGAAAGTTGTGATAATGATTAGATAGCAAATTAGTTTGGTTTGAACGATAATAATTGGGGCCACTACCCAAAAAGACTCTTTTATGTCAAGGTAAACTTTCAAAAAGATTAATGTTTTTTTTATCATTAATGGGATCAGTAGATTTGAATTTAGGACCATGTTGTTTGTGGGCTTGTTGTAATAAGTAGGCCATGTTGTTTGTGGGCTTTTTGTGACAAGTAGATAAGTTTAATATTTTTTGAGAATTTCTTACCCTATTTCTTGGGTTTTTACGCATAATGTGCATTTCTAAAAATGTCCTCTCTGCTTTTGGAGATGTATCTTTGGACATATATTTTTTTAGTTTTTTTATTTTATTCCGTAAATGGATCTACAGAAGACTTCCTTATTCATATCTACAGGAAAAACCCAGAAACAGAATACCACAAAATCAACATTGCAACAATACAATCAGCATTCATAAAATAAAACCGGCGTTACATTGATGATTTTGACAAAAATTTAAATATTACATTTCAATAGCCCGGTGGATGTCTGCACATCTCTAAGATGTCATCGACCGTTCTTCAGACTGTCACCTCCAACTCGAGAATCTTCTTTTCGAAAATGATATACGTTCGCCATATCGCTCTAACATCGTCTTGATTCTTGAGCTAAAACTTGCTATAAACAGCGTTCCTGTCGTTGTCAACTGAAGGTGAACAATATTCAAGTTTCACAACCTTTCGTTTGTCATTGTAAGGTAGGCGATATTGGATCTCGCCTATCATATCAGCGAGGGGGTGAGATCCATGAGCTTGAACGTCCTCATGAGTTTGAGATCCATTAGAGGCGTGTCAAAAGTGACCGACACACCTCTAATACCTATGTAAAATTGTCCTCTTTTCACACTCGAGAAAAGCAAAGCCAACGACATATGTCTTCTCGGTAGACGTAACACCAATCATCTCAAATAAAGGAAATCTATACTTTTGGTCTTGTAGGTAGAATCAAGAATGAGCACTGTCGAAAATGTGTTGAACAACTTTATTGAATTCGGATGAGTCCAAAAAATATCTCAGACCGTAACTCCATCGCCGCAAATTTTGTACCGGGACACATAATTGTTATCATCCAACAATTTCAATAGTTGTTGCATTTCACTTCTATCTCCCCTAATCACCTTGTTGGTGCGGTATCGAATGTTACACACTTGCCTTATATTTGATATATTGTCGGACTCCTTCCTTTTCAATGTGGCAAGTATATTTTTCGGTTGGACAAGATTCAAGGTCATGTCACTAATACACGTCTTCTCTTCCGGCTTGAGCCGACATACACTAGGATGACCTTGTAACTTTGAGCACAAATCATGGTTATGCAAACCACAAATAACACTAAATTTCCACTTTTTTTTACTTAACATGTAACCATGAAGCTTAAACGAACACTCATATTTTCTACTACCCGTGTCTTCTATCTTAAATTTCCGAAGAGAAATTTGATATTTACCGCTTCTTTCGCACAACAGAGTGACAAAAGTGTTTCTTCCTTCCGAACCATTATCGGATCTTCCTATAACTACACCAAAACCAAGTCTTGTTGCAGTCCTACGAACCCATGTGAGCATGCTTTCACGATCATCAAACTCTTGCTTGTTATTAAAGTCAACGCCGACATCTACCGACTTTACGACAATCCCTTGAACATTCGAAGAAACATCGTTTGAAGGAACAAATTCTTTTGAGATGTTATCGGGGTGCACCATATCTATTTGTAAACAATAAGGAAAATAAGCAAAAATTACAAAGCTGCTGAAAAAAACAGACAAAGACGTCCTGAGATGTACATCCAGAAGTGTTCATCTTCAACACGTTCCGGAGGTACAACTCCGAAAGCAACGCCAATTTCCCCCCAAAAGATTGATGATTAATTTGAGAAATATAGTGGATAAAAGGGGATTTTTACCTGAAATTCTATCTCCACTTGCTCCCTGTGATTTGTTGCACGAAAAAGTTGGAGTTTGGAGTGAAAATGATATTGATAGTATAGGGGTTTTTAGGTTGGCGAAGTAAGTATGGAAGAAAAAAAATACAACAATGGGGGGGTGATCATACAGGTTTAAAATATAGCAAAAAATTCTGGAGCTGTATCTACGGAACAATCTGATGCTCAGATACTCCGGAGTTACAGCTCCGAAAGTTTCCCTGCACTGATTTATTTTGAAGTTTCCTCAGTGTATACTAGTAAAAAATGCTTCCATAGATGTAGCTCCGGAAACAACCAAATTTTGGCAAAAAAAGGTGCGTCCGGATGTGTATCTCCGGAAGCAGAGGGCATAAAAGGAATTTTGCGAGGTGGCTAAGAAGACCAAGGGGTGGGATAAGAAATCCTCTATCTTTTTTCCATGTAAATTTTCAAAAAAAATTACCCCATACTTTTATATTTATACTTCATCCAACAAAGACGATATTTAACACTGTTCTTTATATATATATATATATATATATATATATATATATATATATATATATATATATATATATATATATATATATATATATATATATATATATATATATATATATATATATATATATATATATATATATATATATATATATATATATATATATATATATATATATATATATATATATATATATATATATATATATATATATATATAATGATGGTTCATACGATCATTCAGTCGATCCTTTGAACTATATGGTGCAACATCGATATTGATTAATAATATATCGAATTCTCCTTATAGAAATTTATAGGTAGGTTATAGTTCATTTTCACTAGGTACGATTAAGAGTTCATTGTTTTATGTTATTTATGAAAACAAACAAAACATATCAATTATAAATTTATGTGCATTATAATCCACATAAACACTTAATGTGATTTAGACTACTCTTGAAACAGTATTAATGTGGGTTTTTGTTATCGTATCCGCAGGGATTGTATGATATTACCGCCGTTCTACAGTTAGAATTATTTTAAACATAGAACATAAAAGGTGTTTGTTTTGGTTTCATAATGCAACGACCGCATTAAAAGTTATGATCAACGGTAAAAGTTTCGATTTTAAATCGATTGATAAAAACATGTCAAGATTAGGGCTCGATAATCCATTTCATACGTATTTTCTTAACAAAGCATGTGAACTCATTAACAATAAATATAATCACATATTCTCTCAAGATGTTTCATCTCTAAAACAAAATATGAGTTTTATCATATTGATCCCTAAATGATCTCTCAACCTAACTATCAATATGATAACATTAAAGGATTGATATTAGTGAATATCAACTCACAAAACTATCTCTAGACTTTGTTTATTGAAAGATAAAAAAGTTAGGTCAATAGTAAAACATATCTCTCAATAATGATACAACACAAATATTACATAAAAACAAGGTTTTTCACCATATATTCATCATCAACTTGTTCACATACAAAATATCAAGAGAAATAAATACAAAAGTTAGGATTATCTACCACTAATCTTGACACAAGAGTGACTTAGTTACCCATAACCATGGTAGCTTGTGTAACACCCTAAATTCTTGAAATATTTATTTAAATATGAATATTCGCATTTTTGGTGATTTTCGGTGGTTGATGTGAATATTGAGAATTATGGAATTTGAGTTATTTATTTAAATAATAGTATATAATATGAATATATTGGTATTATTATTAATTAAATAAATATAAGTGAATTAAGGGCAAAGTGGACATTTGAGGAGGAGTTAGTGAGGGTGAAATTGGAAACCCAATTTTAAAGGCCCAAAGTTAGGTTTAACAAAAAGGAATTTTGAGGAATTATGATTCATTCTTGTTAGACCGTGAAAAGGGAAGAAATAGAGGCTAGAGCTCTGAGGAAGAGGATTGAGGCAAAAGCTTCGCGAGGTTTCCAAGAATCAAAGAGAAGGGCTTAGAGTCGGCATTTAAGATATGAGGAGTATTGCCTTCATTGTTTTTAATATGTGATTCAATATGTTTAAAGCTGATTTAAGGGTTTAGGAACTTTTGAGTATTGAATTGTTGTTGCCTTTCTGATGGTGAGTTCGAGGAGTTTAAGGGAATTGAACTGATGGTCTGATAGGTTTGAGACTGATTTGGGAGTAAGGGAAATTAGGCCTTCGTGGGGAAAATCTGTTGTTGAGGTTGTTTAACCGTATAAGGTAAGTGATTGTGAGAACTTTAATGACTGTGGGATATTTGTAAGGATATTATGGGAATTGGAGGCGTAAATATGATATGTAATTGGCCTAATAAGTCGTAGATTTTGTGCCTTTATCGTCGTAATACCTTAGGAATGATTTAGAGATGTTTTTGGAGCATTGGGGAAGGAAATCGTATGGACATTTGGACTGATTTTTCTACTGTTGGGTAGCAGCATTTTGTTGTAATCGCGAGTTCGCACAACGAATAATGCTTTTCACGATGAACATTCGCCCCAGACTCGCACGACGAACTTGCCAGCGAACGTATCAGAGTTTCGCGACTTATGTTCTGGTTCAGTGATGTCTTGATGTTTAATGTTTTGATGTTCCTGATGAGTTACCATGAGTATAACTGTGATTCCTATGTGATTAAATGAATGTATGATAAATTACTATGTGATTAATACATGACCGTATGATGAGTACCCATGAGTATAATTGTGATT